CCTCTGCTCCTGGGGCTCCCACCTGCAGGCCAGGCCCTGGGCCCCCTTTGGGTGCAGATGGTGGTGATGGCAACAGCAGCAGGAGACCCTGGAAGGCGGCAGCTGAAGTGATCAGAAGGGCAGTAAGTGCCCAGAAGAAGGTGCTGGCAGAAAAATGCTCAGGGAAGTCCAGTGGGGGACCAGGGGTACCATTGGTGGGGGCTGGTGGGCACTCGAGGCGGCCCACACCCTGCGCTAGGGCCAGCACACAGGGCAGCAGGGCGCTGAGGCCCTGACCCAGGAAGAAAGACCGTAGGAAGGGAGGTGGCAGGTGGCTCAAGAAGGGCAGGAAAGTGACATTAGAGGCACAGCAGGCCATCGCCAGCACCAAGGCCAATGCTAGGAAGGCCACAGAGTGGAGCTGCCCTGCTACTGGGGCTACGTGGTACCACAGAGCAGCCAACAGAGCTGTGCCCAACATGCTCAGCACCTCCACCACCTGGATGGGGACCCGCTCGCCCTTGTCCAGGGTCAGCCGCCTCCACAGGGTCACCACCAGCAGACCCAGGTTCCCCAGCGCCACACACACAGAGAGGTATGCAGGGAGGCTCCAACCTGCAGAGAAGGAGGTAGGCCATGTCAGCAGCACGACAAAGAGCAGCCGCAGCCCACCTTCCTGGGCACACCTGCTTTGGCTTCCCTGCACCTCCCACTCACCCTCCGGAAGTTCTTTTACCACCACAGGCAGCTCCACCCAGATCCCGTTGACAGCAGCCCATGAGCCCATGCCGAAGAGAGCCACCAGCAGGTGGGTCAGCGCCAGACGACCTAGTGTGGGTGCTGCCATTCAGCCCAAGGCTGGGCCCTCCAGGACCGGGCAAAGATCACAGCCAGCTCTTTCCCCACCTAGGTCCAGAGACACTTTGGCTCTTCTGAGAACTGAAGATCTCTTCTAGCTTGAGGGAAACAGATAGGCAAGCAGGACTGACTGGGATCAGAATCAACTACGGTCGGAGTCCCAGGACCAGAGGAGGGACTCTGTAACAGAGGGAGCGCCGGGAGCGGAGCCGGGGGCGGGGTTGGGCGCAGCTGAATCTATCGAGTAGCGCCGGCCACCCGCGTCCGGACCCCAAGACAGTGATGCCGGCAGGGAGAGAAGCGGGAAGTCAGCCCAAGGCGCCACGGACCCTGGGAAGGGAGCTGATCCGCTTACCCACAGAGGACTAGGGCTCCAAGCTGCCAGAATCACCACCACCACCGCCAACGGACCCCGGGACAAGGCGCCGCTCGGCTAGCACGCACGCCCCAGGGCTTGTGCGGTACCCAGGACTGCAGGAGCCAAGTCAGACTCCCGGCGGGGCTGCGCGCGCTGTGCCCAGGGGCCGCCCCCTCACCGCATTAGGTGAGCGCCCTGGAAGCCCGGAGCCCAGCACACCGCACGCTACCCGATCAGCGGTTGGCCTTCCCACCACGCAGCGGCACCGCTCCAATCCCGAGCCCGCAGGGCTGGGGTTCAGCAGGACAGATGCCGGGACTCCAACTCACCCGCTGGGCCTCCAAGACCCCGCTAGCAGGCCCGCCCCCTCTCACGTGTCCCAGACCGGAAGCCCCGCCCCGGAAGCGCGTGCCGGCGAGCTGGGCACCCTGCGAGCCTGAGGGGCGGGGAATGGGTTGGAGTGTCCCGCCCCTTCCGTTCAGCTTCGGAGGGCCTTAGAGCGGCGTCGATGGCCATGGCTGCTCTGGCCGCCCGGCGGACCCGGCGCAGAGCTGGGGTTGTGCCGCTGGCCGGCGTGCGGGTCCGCTCGGCCGAGGACTGGTGGTGGGATCGGCTGGCGCCGAGCGGCTCTGGTTGCCACCTGCTTCAGTCAGACAGCATGCTGCTGGTGCTGCCAGGCTCAGGGCCCGCCCGCGCCCGCACAAAAAGGCGAGTCGCCCGCCAAGCTCAGCGGCAGCCGCTTCCGGGCCATCACGCCGCAGCTTCCAAGCCCAAGGCCACGCCCCGGCCGGAGCCGGCGCCCGCGCCCGAGGAAGTGCCCGACGCTGGCTGGGGAGACCGTATTCCCTTGGAAATCCTGGTCCAGATTTTTGGGCTGTTGGTGGCGGCCGATGGGCCCATGCCCTTCCTGGGCAGGTAACACTGCACCCACAGCCCTGGCCTGTCGAGCGCAGTGGCTTGGACCGCAAGTGGTCCGAGCGGGTGGCCGCGGCGGGGGCAGAGGGCGAACTCGTCTGAGCGCGCATACACTGGTGCTCAGACGTCTATCCGGGAGCGCAGTCTCTCTGTGGGTCCATTTGGAGACCCGGGAGCCGGGCTTTGAGCTGAGATGTCCACGACGCTGCGAGTTGCGGGGCAAGTGCCCCCTTTTGGGAAGCCTATGGTGGCAGCCGGTAGGGGCTTTGCCCACGAAAGGCCCGGCACACTCAGCAGAGCTGTCCTCCCAGGGCTGCGCGCGTGTGCCGCCGCTGGCAAGAGGCCGCCTCCCAACCCGCGCTCTGGCACACTGTGACCCTGTCGCCCCCGCTGGCTAGCCGCCCTGCCAAGGGTGGAGTCAAGGTGGAGAAGAAGCTCCTTGCTTCCCTGGAGTGGCTTATGCCCAATCGGTGAGGGGTTCTCTTTTCTTTATCCCTTGGCTCCACCTGTGTGGTGTGTGGCAAGCCCTCGGCCCCTTCTGTCTTCCTGGACCAACGTGTTGGGTGGGGAGGCCTCCAACAGGAGGGGCAACGTGGGGATACTAGTGCAGTTCCGCCTCTGCTGTCCGCCCAGGTTCTCACAGCTCCAGAGGCTGACTCTCATCCACTGGAAGTCTCAGGTACACCCTGTGTTGAAGGTGAGAGCTCCAGGCTACCTTGCACACCAGCCATGACCCACTGGGGTTGTCTAGTACTCTAGGAAGTAGATTAGGCTCCTTAGGGCCCAACGCTACCCCACGGGGATGCCTGCCTGCCTGCCTTTCCTATTGTCTCCAGCCGGGAGGTCTTGGAGGTGGGGCACCCAAGTAGGCCTGGCATGGGCAGAATGGAGGTCATAGCTGAGGCAGTAGAATGGGATGGCACCATCCACCAGTTTCTTTCCCTTATGGACCTTAGCCTGCCCTCCCCCAACTCCAGTTGGCCTTCTGTCTTCCCAAAGCTGGTAGGTGAGTCCTGTCCTCGGCTCGCTTTCCTCAAGCTTTCAGACTGCCATGGTGTGACCACTGATGCTCTGGTCATGCTAGCCAAAGCCTGCCGTCAGCTACACAGCCTGGACCTACAGCATTCCATGGTGAGCCCTGAGTCCCAAGCGGCCCTGACAAAGACTAGGCTGAGATGACAGGTTTCTTGTGCTGGGTCCCCAGGTGGAGTCCACAGCCGTGGTGAGTTTTTTGGAGGAAGCAGGGCCCCGAATGCGCAAGCTATGGCTGACCTACAGCTCCCAGACAACAGCCATCTTAAGCGCGCTACTGGTAGGTTGGTGATGGGCAGGAGCAGAGCCAGATGCTGAGCTGTGGATTGCCAGCATGCTGACTCTGGTATCCCCCCACCCCCTGCAGAGCGGCTGCTGCCCTCAGCTCCAGGTCCTGGAGGTGAGCACTGGCATCAACCGCAATAGCACTCCCCTCCAGCTGCCTGTTGAAGCGCTGCAGAAAGGCTGCCCCCAGCTGCAGGTACTTGATGCCCCACCCCTCCCACCTGTCAGCCCCTCTCCTGTCTTCAGCATGGGCCTCACCCCCAGGTGCTGCGGCTGCTGAATCTCACATGGCTGCCCAAGCCTTCCGGGCGAGGGGTAGCTCTCGGACCAGGCTTCCCCAGCCTCGAGGAGCTCTGCCTCGCCAGCTCCACCTGCAACTTTGTGAGCAATGAGGTCCTGGGCCGCCTGCTCCATGGTTCCCCCAACCTGCGCCTGCTGGATCTTCGAGGCTGTGCCCGTATCACGCCTGCTGGCCTGCACAATCTCCCGTGTCAGGGTCAGCTGTGTTTGGATGGTGGCTGGGCAGGTGAGATGTGGGGACTCTTGTCTGCCCTGCTCACTCATGCTCACTCCTCTCACCTCAGAGCTGGAGCAGCTTCACCTGGGCCTGTATGGCATGTCGGACCGGCTGACTCTAGCCAAGGAGGGCAGTCCTCTGTTGACCCAGAAGTGGTACCACACCCTGCGGGAACTGGACTTGAGTGGCCAGGGATTCAGTGAGAAGGACTTGGAGCAGGCCCTTGCTGCCTTCTCAGGCACCTCTGGAGGCTCACACCCGGCCCTGTGCTCCCTTAACCTCAGGGGTACCCGGGTCACACCAAGTACGGTCAGGTCAGCACCCCCTCCCCTAGTCCCTTGGAGCCAGTACACTTGCCTCTCTGTCTGCCTGGGGCCCAGAAGTGCTGTCCTGTTTGGCTTGTGACCTCCAGGGGTCTGAGAGAGGATTGCATGCCCTGCTTGACCCTGGCCTTGGCCTTGGGGACCCCAAGGGTACTAGGCTTGGCCTCGATGGCTGTGGGTGGCAGAGCAAGGTGTGCAGCAGAAGCAGACAGGGCTTCCTAGCCTGGCCCAACCCTTCTGTGGCTTGGGTCTTCTGGGCAGCAACTCAGCTCCCCTGGCCTGCTCTGCCCCCACAGCTCTGTGGTCAGCAGCTGCCCAGGCCTGCTATACCTCAACCTGGAGTCCTGCCGTTGCCTTCCCAGGGGCCTGAAGCGGGCCTACCGGGGCCTTGAGGAAGTCCAGTGGTGTCTGGAGCAGCTGCTTACTACCCCTCCCTCCCTCTACTAAGCAGCTACAGACCTCAGAGGCCTCAGCCGTCCTGCCCCACCCTGTATGCTTCTCCAGTTTTGCATATTTGAGCATTTTGTTACAATAAAACATTTTTTAGGAACTCTGCTGTGGTCTTTGGGGTAGGGTTGAGGAACTGGGGTTATAGCTGATGGAGCCACTGGGGGCTACAGCTGCCCCAGAGGCAGTGTGTTGTGGGGGTGGGAGTGGCCCCCAGCATGCTCTTGAGCCTATCCTGGCCACCTTTTGCCTGCTAACTGCTGGGTTTGAATCTTGGGCTGAGAGTATGTGTCTGGCCCTCAGGTACACTGAGGGGAGCTGTCCATGGTTGGAGGGGGCAGAGGTTCCCATGGAGAGGTGGAGCCCTGGTAAGGGCTGCCTGCCTGCAGATTTCTCTGCAACTTAGACGTGGCATGTCCAGCCATCCATCCTTCAGATGAAGGCCAAACCAGGCTGCACAGGGGGTCTCTAGTGGGAAGAATTTGACCGGGAAGCACACGTCCTCTGCGGGGCCTGCCCCTGGTACTCCCGTAAGGGGTGGTCAACAGAGCGGCCCCTTCTAGAACCTGCGTCCTGGAACTTCTAGAACCCGGGTGACGCCCAGCCTGGACTACTACCGGGCCTCACTGCCCTGCCCGTCGCCTGTGAGCTCCTGCTCGTTCCTGAACCGCAGCCGTGGAGGGTTTGATCACCCAGGTAGGAGCACGACTGTAGGCAGTGGGTGGTGGTAGCTGGCAAAGCCGCCAGGCTGACGCTTGTGCCTGACTCAGATCCCTAAGGGCCGGCCCAGCAGCCTGCCCACTACCTCTAGCGGCAACCGCTTCCAGCTCTGGGCCCTAGGACTCTTCTGCACCGAACGCCACCTGGCCAGGCGTCTCAAGAACAACAGTTTCTACCCGTTCACGCAGCAGCAGCCAGGCGGTGCGTGCGGGCCGGGTGGGGCGGGGCGCAGCAAGGCGAGACTCCGGGTAGGAGAGGGCCGGGACGGAGGGTGGGGCCAGGTGGGCAGGGCCAGAGCCCTGGGCGGGTCCGGCCCGTGCCCTCTGGGGCTCAGACACCACAGGTGGGACAACGCCGCTGCCCGGGCAAAACCCTGGCACTGCCACCCCCGGCTGCGGGCAGAGGTCAGCAGTCCTCACGCGCCGCCACACGCCACCCCTAGTCTTTGTCCTCGAGTACTACTTGGACACGTTGTGGAAGGGGACGCTGCTGTTCGTCGTCTGCGTGATCCTGGTCAGCGTCAGCTCCCTAAGACAGGTTGGAGGTCCTGAGCCCTAATCCACAGCCTTCCTCCCCTGAGGGCTGGACCAGACGCTCCGCACCAGCTCCCGAAGTACCTCTGCTCTGGCCCCTCCCCTCCCCCCCCATCGCCCGCCTCCGCCCGCTCAGCTCAGATGGTTCCCGCGGCGTCCACAGGTGCAGGAGCAGGAGACTTGGGGCTTCCCTATGTACGGCATGGCCGTGGGCCTGTGGCTCATCATCTCGTCGCTGCCACGGCGCCGCCTGGTGCTCAACCACACGCGTGGCATGTACCACTTCTCCATACAGGGCCGCACCGTGTGTCAGGGCCCCATGCACCTGGTCTACGTGCGCCTGGCGCTCAGCTCTGACGGTGACGCGGGGGAGGGGCAAGAGCAGAGGGCGGGCGAATGTGTCAGGGAGAGGGAGGAGCGGGAGGGGCGGACAGGCCAGCCCGCTGCCCCGCCCCCGTCCCAGAGGTCCCCGGCTGAGTCCGCGTCCCTCCCCAGCCCATGGGAGGTGCTTCTTTCAGCTGGTCTTTGGCGGCAACAGGCTGGAGCCGCTGATACTGGTGCAACTGTCGGAGCACTACGAGGTGAGTCCCGCCCCTGACACGACTCCTGAGGACAAAATGACACCGACCACTGTTTAGTTTCTTTGGATGGGGCCATTTTGCACGCAAAGGGTAAATACAATGCGGTCCTCCGCGCTGGGAGCCAGCGGAGCGCGCGCTGGGCTGCAGGTGGGGCAGGAAGGCGGCTGGTCTGGGCTGCAGGTGGGGCAGGAAGGCGGCTGGTCGGGAGGGGAAGCCTAGAGGGCACAGTGGCGGCGACGGCGGGGCCAGTCCTGTCTGGATTGGAGCTGACAGCCATCCGCTCTGACAGCAAATGGAATACCTGGGCCGTTACATTGCTCGGAAACTCAATATTAACTACTTCGACTACCTGGCTACGTCCTACCGGCACGTGGTCCGCCACTGGCCGCTGGGGGCCGCCTTCAGCCCAGGCATCGTGTTGCGCAATTACCGCGGCTACGACAGGCCCAGCCTGTCTCATTCTGACCTGGAGGTGTGACTCTGAGGCCTGCACTCCCCCTCTTCCCCACCGGCAGGACTGTGTTCTTTTTTGCCCTGTAGCCTCCCATCCCTACTCTGGGGTGGAGCGAATGTCAGGCCCACCCACTGGCCTTCCTCTCAATAAAGCTTCCTCAGTTTCCAGACTTTGTTGGGAGGCGGGAAGGTGCTCCTGTTCCTGGGTCTTCCACCAGTGCACACTGCCCAGGGCTTCAGGGAGCCCCTGCAGCCAACAGAAGCAAAACCCTGATGGGAGGTGGAGCAAGGGTGGCTGCAGGCATGCCTCTAAGAGTGGACCAGGTAGGCTTAGGACTTGCTGCCCTTCTTGACCAGCACACTTAACTGGCCCTACCTGACCTCAGAGGTGCTGGCCAATGAGTGGAATCCAGGAGTCCAAATCTGACTGGTCCAGTCTGGGTCAGGTGCCTGCCTCTTCCTAGTCCACCCAGCAGCAGGATGGGGTAGAGCCAGAGAACAAGCCCTGTGCCTGGGGGTGCATCTTGGATTAAATATCCCCCAAAGTTGTTGCTGCATACCTCCTAGGCCAGGGCATGAGGCCTCCTGGAGGGATAGGCCTGTGGTGACCACAGCACTTGCTCTTTGTGCCTGCTGCAACTCCAGTCCCATGTTCCCTGTCCAGCAGAACCCCCCAGCTCTCACTCCAATACCTGAGGCCTCTTGGGCTCTGGGGGCTGCTGTGGGAGCAGAGAAGGCAGTGGGCCATGGGGTTCTAGGAGGAGCAGTGCCTGGTACTGTCCATCTGGCTGTCCTGGTCAGCATGCTGCTAGCCCAGGTCTTTGGGCATTGTGTCAGCTAAGTGTCCGTGGAACCAGGAGTGGCTATATAATATGCAGAGCTCCATGCCAAATGAAAACTTGGAGCCCCTTGTTAAAAAGTTATTAAGAAAGTAAGCACAGTGACATACACCTGTAATCCCAGCTACTTGGGAGGATGAGGCTGGAGGATCACTTGATGCCATAAGTTTGAGGCCTGCCTGGACAATATGGCAAGACTCTGTCTATAAAAAATAAAAATAAAGTTGTGAAGAATTTCAAGATGGAAACAGTAGAGCATTAAACCAAGCACAAGGCCCTGATCTTGGTGCCCTGTCACATGCCTATGAAGCCAACCCTGCCTGGAACCATGACTTGGAGTCACTGGGTCAACCTCTAACCCCAAGGCTGGCCAGACCCAATGGGTTCACAGGCACCCCCACCCATTGCTGGGGCATGGTCTGGGGGCTAACGGCATTGCTTTAGGTAGTCCCTGGAGCAATTGTTAGTACTGGCACAAGTGCAAGGACCCCTCTGCCCCCAGAAGATGGGCCTTAAATGTCCCCAGAGTGTCACTACTCAAGTTTTACCAGGGTTTAGGTTAGGGACTTAGTTTAATTCAAGCAAAGTCCCTGCTCTTCTGGAGCTGAAAACCTAAGGGGGACCCAGAATGCAGAACTAACTTCTATGCATCCAAGGTGGCTGGAGGAGGAGTAGGGTCCCTCTAGCTAGGGGCTCAGGAAAGGCCTTTCCTGGGAGTGGCCTTTGAGTTTATACAAGCTGTAGGGGAGAGCATTCTGGACAGAAGGGACAAGAAGAACAAAGGGTGTAACACAGGACTGAGCTGCAGGTGCTCAAGAAGCTGCAAGGAGACTAAGCTGGTCACAGGGGAGAGGACTTGGGGAAGGAGGCCCGAGATGATCTGGAAAGAGCAGCCAGAGTTTTTACTCCTTGCAATGGGAAACTGCTGGAGAGTTGTAACCGAGATGCACTATGCTCCAGGGAAGGAGTGATGGAAAAGGGCCCCAAGGTTGCAAGAATTGTGTAAGGACAGAAGGGGCCAAGAGCATCCGAGGAGCAGGGACCACCAGGAGGTATGAGCTACAGCTGGGGAAGTGTGTCGGACTTGCTGGCAGGCTGGGCATGGGCTGCAGAGAAGAGCAATTTCAGGTGAGTCTGAGTTTCTGGTTGGGCACTGGGGCTGGGAGGTGTCGGGGGAGGGCTGGCAGCCAGGAGTCCTGAGTTAGACCAGGTGTGTGGGACTTTGTCAAGGGAATTTGGAAAGGTAGAAAGGCCATGGAGAGAAGGGAAAAGGGGAAGCACAGACCTGACACCATTGTCCCCCCTGAGGTCCCTATAGCTAAAGACCTGGATGAGAAGTTGCTGGCAATACAAAAGCGTCTGGCTTCAGAGACGCAGGGCAGAGGAGGCCCACAGAGGAAGGATTAGGAAACCAGAGAGGGAGGGAGAGGGGACCCGAGTCCAGCAAGATGGGGGCTCACCAGAAGTGGCACTGCTCCTTCAGGAACAGCCTGGGAGAAGGAGGCTCAGCAGCACTCCAGAAGTGGGGGGGGCAGTGAGAGGGAAGTAAAGATCACACAGGAAGTTTCACTGTCAAGAGCAGAGAAACATTCCAGAGTACTTGCTACTTCCTGTCGAGTAAATAAAATAAAGTAAATAAATTTAATTACATTTTAATTAAAAAAAGAGCAGAGAAACAAGGGGGCAGCTTGCAGGAGGAAGGTCTTGCTTGTTCACTTTAAGGGGCATATTAGGCCAGGCGATGTGGCTCACGCCTGTAATCCTAGTACTCTGGGGGGCCAAGGAAGATGGATCCTTTGAGCTCAAGGGTCTGAGACCAGCCTGAGCAAGAGGGAGACCCCGTCTCTACCAAAAATAGAAAAACTTACCCAGACATGGTGGTTGATGCCTGTAATCCCAGCTACTTGGGAGGCTGAGACAGAAGGATCCTGAGCCCAGGAGTTTGAGGTTGCTGTGAGCTAGGCTAACGCCACAGCACTCTAGCTGGAGCAACAGAGTGAGACTCTGTCTAAAAAAACCGGGGTGTGCAGGTGTGAATGACCCAATATAGATTTACTATGAAGCAGATCCAGGGACATTTGTCACAACACAGTTCTTGGCTGGGCAGAAAAGGAGAGGATTAGGAACACAATTGGGATTGGAAGCAGGGTCTTTTTGTCCCTCTTTCACTTACTCCTTAGAAAAGGACCCCCATATTTAACTAGACATATGATCACACAGAATGAACACTACACTTCCGAGCCTCTGTTGTAGATTGGTAAAAGTGGTTATGAGATGAATTCTTGGCCAATGCAATGTAAGAATTGGTGTATGGGCCAGGCACAGTAGCTCATGCCTATAATCCTAGCACTCTGGGAAGTTGAGGCAGGCGGATTGCTCAAGGTCAGGAGTTCAAAACCAGCTTGAGCAAGAGCAAGAGCACCATCTCTACTAAAAAATAGAAAGAAATTAACTGGCCAACTAAAAATATATAGAAAAAAATAGCTAGGCAAGGTGGCGCATGCCTGTAGTCCCAGCTACTCAGGAGGCTGAGGCAGGAGGATTGCTTGAGCCCAGGAGTTTGAGGTTGCTGTGAGCTAGGTTGACACCATGGCACTCTAGCCCAGGCAACAGAGTGAGACTCTGTCTCAAAAAAAATTAAAAAAAAAAAATTGGTGTATGTAATTTCCACAAATGTCCTTAAAGGGGTTTGGCTTGTTTTTGCCATTTTTTCTTTTTGTGGGCTGGATTGCATTCATGATGATTGGAGCTCAGCAGCCATTTTGGACCATGAGGTAGAATGCATGTGCTGAGGATGGCAGAGCAACAAGATAGAATTGTGGAGCTTGGTGATTATGGAGTTGACCTATCAATCCTGGATGGCTTACATTAGAGTCTCTTTATGTGAAAGAGAAAAAAATTCTACAGTTTAAGCTATTGTTACTTGGAGTTTTCTAATACTTGCTGCAAGTCTGATTCTAACTAATAAGAAGATTGTTAGCTTTGAAGGGGATTAGGAGGTTTTAAGGAAAAAGGGAAAGTATGAAATAGTCATCTCAGGGAATTGGGGAATTGGGAGAGTAATTAACTGGATGAGGAAAGTATAGTAAGATTGTATACCAATGTGGAGTGCTTAGTTGAGATGTGTGTCATACAATGTAAAGGGCCAGTGAGTGTGGTTTTATAGTTTTCTCTAGCAAAGTGTTGCTGCTTAGATGCACGTGTGGAGCAGGTGACAGTTTGGTCTAACAAAGGAAGCTCTTTAACAAGGACAAGAGGATAACAGTGTGGGGCCAAGGGAGTGATTATGATTCTGAATCATGGAACCTGAACTGGGAAGACAGCATGAGGACAAGGAGCTTCAGTTCCCTATTGCCATGTACCCTATCACCCCAAACTGAAAAGCTCAAAACAGCAATGATGTTACTCTTTCTCATGATTTTGTGGGCTGCCAGGGCTCAGATGGGTGGATCTACTCCACAGGGGTATTTGGGGTCGCTGGTATTTGGGTACACCACTCATGTGGGTACATCAGCCAGAAGCTTAGATGAGGCCAGAATGTTCAAGATGCCCTCTCGAGGCTGGGCATGGTGGCTCATGCTGTAATCCTAGCACTCTGGAAGGCCAAGGCAGGCAGATCACTCAAGGTCAGGAGTTCGAAACCAGCCTGAGCAAGAGCGAGACCCCGTCTCTACTAAAAATAGAGAGAAATTAATTGGCCAACTAAAAATATATATAGAAAAAATTAGCCGACCATGGTGGTGCATGCCTGTAGTCCCAGCTACTCAGGAGGCTGAGGCAGGAGGATTGCTTGAGTCCAGAAGCTTGAGGCTGCTGTGAGCTAGGCTGACGCCACAGCACTCTAGCCCAGGCAACAGAGTGAGACTCTGCTGTCTCAAAACAAACAAACAAACAAAAAAAAGATGTCCTCTCATCCTCTAGAGCAGGGGTCCTCAAACTTTTTAAACAGGGGGCCAGTTCATTGTCCCTCAGACAGTTGGAGGGCCAGACTATAGTTTAAAAAAACTATGAACAAATTCCTATGCACACTGCACATAACTTATTTTGAAGTAAAAAAACAAGCAGGCAAAAACACCTGCATGTGGCCCACGGGCTGTAGTTTGAGGACGCCTGCTTTGGAGCCTCTCTCCAAGTGGCATCTCACCATTCATCAGGCTATCTGGGCTGCTGGCTCCAGGGGGAGTGTTATAAGAGGACAGACCCCAGTGAGCACATGTCTTATCAGGCATCTGTGTACCTCACTTACTAGCATCCCATTGGCCAAACCCAGTGTCAATATGGAGGGGACTAGATAAGGGGTGAGGCCCAGGAGGCGAGGGTTGGTAGGGCCA